AGTAATTATTAACCTTTGTAGGATGGGGGAGGGGGGGTTAGGTGGAGGACTTTAAGGGTGGATCACAAAATATTAAGGGGGAACAGGAGGAGGATCAGTCGTTGCCAACAGAGGATATGGGGGGGGGGGGGGGGCTGTGGGAAATTGACTACAAATCAACTACCAATGAGGGAGAAGGGGACTGTAAGAATATCACAGAGCCCTATAAAGGGATCAGGTAAATTTTTATCATGACTCATCCAAAATCCTCCCAAACCCACAACCCCTCCCCCCCAAAAGACAATGATTGGTCCCTTGTGGCAGCGCTTTTCTTTGCATGACTTTAATCAGTGTGGTTATTGATCGCCGGAAGACATTTGTAATTGTCAACGTTTTGAGACACCTAAACATTTCCGTTTGCGTGTTGCGTCGGCCGAACGTGAACATTTTTCGGTATAAGTTTTGTTTCGGGGACACTTGATTGATAAGGATTCTTTCGACTCGTCATTTAGTTATAAATATCTTTCATGCTTCTATTCGGAAAACGTTAAACAAGATGATGGATCATTTTTAAGAACAAGCGACCGTGCCTACGGGCTTTTTTTACCAAGTGATCTGTTTTTAAGCCTATCCAGTATGAAAGGCTATTAAGTCTCACTCGCTTAATCCCGAGTCACGTATAAAACAGTCATCACTATGGAATAATCCGATTTGTGCGATGTGATCTTCTTGACATTTGGGTAACCAAAAATAATTCTTTGTACGTCCGGAGCAAGCAACTTGAGCAAAGTCTTTTAGGCAACGAAAATATTTATTCAATATTATCTGTAGAACATGGGGCATAATTTTAGAACGCCCTTACTTTGTAACCCCAAAAACATTGATTAATTTATAAAAGTGATCGTTGTTCATAGTGGTTCGATTAGGGTTTTAACACACAAATTTATATTCCATTGACATATGCCAAGAAATATAACAAGTAAGGTGGTAGTTTAATTGCTTTCCATTGTTTTAGATGAAAACATCTCTTCAATCATTCATTATATTTAACTGAATTCTTTTGAATTCTTGCACGTTTCTGAGAGAAGCTCTTAGCTCTTAAGCTGTTGTTACCAGTTTTGTCGCAATGAAACGGAGTCTTGTTGGCGCCTAACAAAGAACTGGTCGGAAACTGGGCGTGGTCAATGATGGTCTGCTTTGTTCCCTTTCCAACTATTTTCGATTTTGTAAAACCCTAGCATGCTTTGTATCTTTGATAGGTCTCAAACACGTGCGTGCAGATGTCTTTTAAGGCACGTGATCATTGATACATTTTGAACTAGTTTAGGAAGGCGTGTGAAAAATGCAATGAGTGGGTTTCGTGCAACACATGCATTCATGTTTATCATAACCGGCCGGAAGTAATTGAGTACAACAGAGGTAATTCTTTTGTGAAAGCGTAGTATGTACTATATCTGCGCTTTTAATCAATCAGTTTACATGCTCGTTGAAGGAAATGAAAAACCAGAGTAAATAATTGTCGTTACAGACTAAGTATAGGCACCACCGGTAGGAGATAAACTTATCGACCCAGGACCACCCATTACTAATTGAATTCTCTTCCAGAATTGTATTTTCCCTTCTATTTAATATCATATGCTGAGTGAAGTTCAAGCGATTGCCCGACATCCTGAAAATACGAAAAGGAATTCTCTTACAGTTGAAGGAAAGAACGAACAGAGGGATAAGTCTCACGTATGCTTGACACACTAAGTTTCAAAGCTGACATGATTTCACTGCATGGCTGCATGCAATCAAATGGATAGTAACAATGAACAACCATTGTTGTCTACGCATTCATGTGGAGGGTTAAGCAAACTAAACCCTGTCACTGAGACTACTTAGACGCTTCCTTTATATCCCATAAGTGAAAGCCCCACTCTGCTTATCTGAACGTGCTGGTAGAAGTCGCGCCATTTCGAGAGGCAAGCCGCAGTTATACACCTTAATCCAAACCCCAAGCTTTATTTTACTTGATACCAGTTCATGTATAGAAATATCATTCACTGTTTTTGTACTCAAAAAATTTCTCTTTAACACAGGCATTGATATTACTTAATGACTCTACCGTTTGAATTCCCTGTTATGATCGTAAATCCTATAATCAGACATATGATCTGATGTTAGTTGAAAGGTGAGGACATCAGTGCCAAAATAGCTAAAAAAAACCACGCGATGCAAGAGACAATAGGTTAATAAAGAGGCCATATCAAATTATAATGCACTGAATCTGCCTTTGTACAGATTGTATGTGTTGATCTCTGATAAATACCATTAGGAGCACAGCCAGAAACTCACCGTAAGACTTCTGGGAATGTTTTCTTTGCATTTGATATTTCGCGTTAGTTCCTATTCTGTTGATGCCGTTTGTATATGATAAATCATTAAAACTCTTCAGAGATTACTTGATAAATATATTTGAGTAATTTTTGGAGGACTTCTAAAAGTATTGGCTATCTCAGAAACTTATCACACGGAGAGTGGGGGGCGGCGGATTATTAAGATTTGTCTCTGTCACGGTAAATTTACCGGATCCCACATAAGGCCCTGTGATATTCCCTCATAGGCAGTTAGTTTTCTATAGTTCTCCCTTAAGGGTCTGTTGGTGGCTACTGATCCCCACCCCATTCCCTCTGAAAGCCACGTGATCCCTACAAAATCCTCTGGTCCCTTATCAGCGTAAGCCAGGTATATTCTCTGCGTTATCACTTTTGTCATGCGCGTGACTGATAGCCTTAAAAGCTAGCCCTATTTTAAACGTTTCAGTAGAAAAGTAGAATGACTGAGTATTTTTGGCCTCTGGACCAGCCATGTAGGAAACCAGCTGAAAAAGGGGATTAAACTATAGTTTCAACTGTTGTTGAATAGATAAGCGTTATGCTTATTTTAAATCTGCTACTTCTAACTACCACGTAAACTTTCTCATACGGTAGGAAACAAAAGAAGTTTGCTAAGGGAGCAAACAGTCACACACCTATGACTGAATATGATAACAGATCCTCGAAAGCGCGGAGGTTTCAAAAGGAATCGAGCATTGAGTGATGATATTTAAAAATTGTCAAAAAAAATGATATATCATTTCCTCTGATTACCTCTATATCAATGATTTTAGCCGAAATATTTTCAGCCATACAGCTCCTCTATATAAATGAAGGTATTGTAAAGAGAGGAAAAGGATCTGAGATGGGAAAGGAATATTATAGAGGCTGGAGATTTTCTCCAACAGGCATGAGAAACGTTTAGGATAAAGCGATCGTATTTTATCTCGCTTTGTAATATTTCGGGGTATTATTTTCGGTCTTGAATCATACAAAATTAAGTTTGTTTTCCTTGTCAAAGTGGATAATCTATCTTACTTCAATGATTTATGATTTCATGAAAGGATTTCTGTGGTTCTTTTTCCTAGCGGCCTTACTTTAAAAATACATTAAATTTTCAGAAAGATATTCAGCGTTTTTAATTACTGTTTCACGGAGGTTGTAGTTTACCCACCTTTTTTTTCCGATGATTTTAAATACGCCTGATGCTCATCAGCGTAACACAGAAGGCTCCTTCTCAATGGGCTTTTAGATTTAATTTGGTTTTATTATATACTTTTTTTGTCATCATTTACGTTTACCAGATCTTCCATGTAGAGAGTTATCAGAAGTGGCCATTCAACATCCCTATGACAGTCCTTAATTTTGAGTTTCGTGACCTCAATCGAAAAAACTACATGTTGTTTTTCCATACTTGGTGCAGATAATCATGTTAACATGTCAACAACTGAACTACTGAGCTGTAACCTTGATTTGAAGATTACTTTTCCTCCTGGAGGAAGTTTGACCTCCCTGCGAAGCCTGATCTCTCTCAGTTCACAGGATACCACACGCACCAAGTATGAGGTCGTCTGAGCCAATTTATGGAGCACACAAAGAGCAAGAAGCGCTGTGAAAGTCAAGTGTCAATGCTCCTAACTGGGTACACCGGGTCGAACGGTTATACCCACTCATAACTGATAAAAATATCAACCTGGTGCCCAATAATTATAAGCGTCTCGTGAAGTAGGTTTTGTCCACTTAAGAGAAGTGAACAAATTGGCCTCAGTTTTTTCTGTTCCTTTTTTTTTTTTTTTGCATTTATCTCAACGATTAAACGAATTATCTGTCAAGAACTTGCCACTGGGATAGCATGCGTCGATTTGAAGAGTATTTCAACTCGAAGGGGACCATACGACTTCCTCATCAGGTTATAACATCAGAGGATTAGAGGTATGTCGGGTCGGTGGCCACACGAGGCGTTGAAAATGTGAAACGACCTTTGCATGACCAAAGCCTAAGTAAATGTGCGCAGTTATGAAGTGAATTGACAAACTGTTTCCCTGTTTTCTACAATACCAGACATACACTTATAGCTCTGCCAAATACACACTCTAAACTCTTTAGTTGAGGGGTTTTTTGTGGCGTATCCCAATCTAGACTCTTTGTTGGAACGGGTACTAAAATAATCCTTAAGGAGTGAGTGGAAAGCAGTGAAAATTTCGCTGAAGTCTTTTACACAACACAAACTACTTGGAAATGACCCAGGTCTGAAATGTTTTCATAATTGCAGACTTTCGTTTCACTGACCCAGTCATGTCTAAATGTCTGCAACTATCGAGGCCTGGCTAGGGGTTTCGGGTTTAGGGGTATCTGGAATCTCTTTTTACTTTAATAAGGTAATATAATCTTGATGAGAGAGGAGTATTGGCGAGCTCTGAATACCACTAACTGCAAATCCCAAAGTTCATCCTCCTTACAATTTAACAAAGATGCATATGATCCAATATCCTATTAACTCTTGATTAGTCAGCACCAGATCGATGAACGTACTTTCCAGGGACAAAGACTTGCTTGGAAAGTTAAGAGGTACTGCAAGAACTGGATCCAGCGATACTTGGATGAAATAATTAAATGATCGGGTAACACATGTTTTTAGAAAGAACTACTTTATTTAGCTGATGACCTGTTTCTGTTTTTCATATTAAAAACGAAAGTCTTAACAGGCTGAGTGAAGTTAAACTAAACTTAACAAGTATAAAACCTGCAATAAAATATTATCAACTCTTACAGACTTTGTACATGTTTAATAACCAATTTATACGCTATGACTTCAATGTTTATCTTTTCACTCTCATTATCATATGACCAATAAATAATATGCACTTCTACTTGTGAATTAATATACAGTGTACATATATGTTTATGTCATTACTATGTCAGCGGTCGCCCCGATGTGTTTGTATCAAGATTGGATGTTTCATTAAAAGGCTGTGCAACCGCGCATGAATCCTTGATTTCTTTGTGTGCATGTATGTCGCTCAAATTGTCTCTATCATTTTCTGCGCTCTGTACTGGTGTTTCCTCTTCAATCATTGGTATTGATGTTGTTGTGGAGTCAGCTTGTGTTTTCTTCTTTTTAGCTTCCTGATCTTCCCGTTTTTGTTTTCTCCATTTTGCTCTACGATTTTTGAACCAAACCTGCCGAGAGACATAATGCTATGAGTCATTGAAGAAATTGTAAGGGGCTAGTACATTTTCCTCTGAGTATATTCATTGCAAAAGGCGGATTCCCTCGCTCAAATATAAAGTAATAGTTTAACGCGAGAAAAAGTGGTTAGGACTGGTCTTTATTTATCCTTTATCTTACATTTCACCTCTCAGTTTGTAGGTGAATTGGCGGTCAGTTTTCTGTACTCCTTCCTTTATACTCTATTGGCGACGAGTGATCCCCAAAATCCTCCACCCCACCCTCAAGACGATACATAATGACTGCTTATAAATACAAATTGACCAGTTTTCGGGAAGTGTTCTGATAGTGTATGTTAGACATGAAAGACAAGGTTGGCAAACATTGCCCAATGTTGCTACACTTGCTGTTTTGAGTGGTTAGCCGATGAAGGATACTGCTGCCAAATTCTTCACAATATATGTTCAATAACATCAATATACTGATTGTTTTAGTCGACATATCGTTCTTTTATGGTGATAACTTTCAAAATAGGATTCTTAAGAAAAAAAATTTATTTTTACAATCAAATCTAACCCACCAGCAAGTAAGTTAAGCACTAGCTGGTAAATCAATGTTTGATAAGTTACATTGCGTTTTAAGCGGATTAGCTGTATGCATCAAAAGTAGTCGGTTAGCTGCCAAGGTTACTCCATGATTTGCGAGACTAATATTAAACACAAATTATTCTAAGACCAGGTCTTAATAAGCCCTTGGGCCGCGAAAATGGAGAAAGGAATTAATGTACAAACCATTTAACAAAGAGTATTGTATCATCACGACTACGGCGAATTAAAGAAAACCTCATAGATGTTGGAATAGGAAAGCGAAGCTTACGATCATTAATTAACTGTTTGACAAACTTATTTAAACCGCACTTTTGCCCATGAACAAATTTGGGTTTAAGCTTTTAATTGACTTAGCACCATATACAATAGAATTATTTTAACCCAGACACAAATCTGTTAAAGACTCGGACCATTTTCACAACATCGAAGTGTGAAAATTTTTTATATCTGTCCTGCCGGCTTACTTGAACTCGAAACCACAATTTATTCTACACCCCGCAGAAACGACTTCTGTCCGGCTCCTTGTCAGCCGTCCGAGGGGTGGATAATTAATGTTGTGTTAACTGTAGATTCCTCAACTGATACACAATACAGATCCTTGAGAATCCATGTTTCATTATTTTTCTACATCTTTTTGATGTCACAAAACTGATTTGAGATCCAACACCGTGGATTGTTTTGTTAGCTATGTTAGCTTTCTCTGATCATGCTTCACTCAGCGATCAGCGAATGTGCGCAGCGACACCAGTCTACATGATTCCAGAAGAGCCTAACACTTTCTCATAGCATTATTCGATCTGAGCAGACAGAAAAACCAAATACTTTGTCGCTTGAAAAGAAAAGAGAAATCCCAACTGACTATTGCCGCTTTCGTGTCCAAATCGATCAGCCTTCGATCGACCAAACTATTTGATACGATTGGAACTGAAACTCGAAACACGAAAACCGATAAAACGAAAAAGAAGCTAGGATTTTCATGGTATTATATGATGTTATGATCCTCATCGAAGACTCACTGAATATAAAACCAACTGAACAGTGTTTACCGTAAATTTAGAAACGCTGTGCGACTTAACAAACCGAGTTAATGTTTGTCAGATTTGATTTCTCTCGATCTCTGTGTTCAGCAAAATCCACCGATATTGGTGATATGAACGCAAGAATCAAACCTTTGAGAAATTACCTTTCCTTACATTAGATCATTTGTTGTCAGCTATCCAGGGAAGAAAAATTTGAATTACTTACATAAGAAGACCAAGAAAGACAGTGGATCACACACCAACCTATAACACAAGGTGGAATTTGCTCATTACGCTGTTAGGAATTCATCAACACAGTCTTCCGAGAACTGGTTAATTCCTAAATTTTACCGCAAAATTGATGAAGAAAAAAAGATCAAAAACACCCGCACGAACATTTTTTCGTGATGAGAGTTTTTCCCGTTCTTTGAGGATCACATTGAAGTTCTACGAATCTAGAAAATTCCAAAGTTGTTTGTCTGTTGACGAAGAACGTGGTCGAAACTCAGCCACTTGATAAGTTACTTTGCTGTTCATAGGAATGCTCCCTGAAGCTTAATTAATTTAACTTTAAAATAAACTGAATATCAAGGGAACAAAGTCTGAAATAAACCGACTTCAACATTTAGAGCCTGTGGTATAAACTTCAGTTTAAAATTATCCAGGACTGAGAGTCCTTGGACTTGTGTTCTCTCATCAATGGAGTCGCAAAGACGACCTCTTTTTGTAAGGAAGTGATTAGAACCAAAGCTCCTAATGTTTACTCTCCATTTGAATAATTTAAGTAGGGCTTTCGTAATTCAATTACCAGTTTAATACCCGGGGTTTATAAAGCGCGAGAATTCACACATCTTCAAGACTTCTGGTCGCCACTTAGTAAATCGTGTTGGCAAAATTATGAGTACGAAGCGATCGTTGATCTTAGTCTTTGAACTTCTCGCTAGTAAAACATCCTTTTTATTACAAACATAAAACATCACTTCTGTGATCACAGCCTTCTCATAAGATCACCTAACTAGAGAAAAGAACTTTAGCACATCGATGAATACCCAAGAAAAGTGGGTGTACCTCAACTGTGATCAATTGCAAATGGCGCGCCAACGTGTCGTGGAAACTCTTGTCCTCTTAAAATATTTTTGAAGTTTCGTTGGAGAATCTTAGTAGTTATGCAACAGAAGTATGATAAACATTATGAATGTTTACAGATATTGCTTGAAGCCTTAGGTTTTTGTCGTTGTGCTTTTAATAAAGATGTTGTACCTGACTATGCACGGCCACTGCTCCAAACAATGTGTTCACGTATCTGTGCGAAGTGACACTTCTTATAAAAGTTGAATAATCTCCTTTGTTCGCCCCTTCCCACTGAACAGTAAAAACCAAAACGTATCTTCAGTATCATTCTTCCACGTTGAAAATGAAGAATATCACAACTTTTGGATTGATTTAGTTGGAACGGGCTTGCAGCTCAAGATCTACAGAAGGACCATGTCACTCAAAATTCTGGACATGCCACGTCTACTAGTGGCATTTTAGAGAAATCATTAATCTTCTAAGTTTTGACAGCAATATGCTATCGTATTTACTTCACGATTATTACGATTAGAGTCGCGGTGTCCTTAGAGAAGCCAGCGATAGCGTCAAGTAAGTCGAGATATGTTTGTACAATACAGATTTGAACGTGCCACTGTACTAAAAGCGTAATGGTTTTTTTTGGAGTCGGAAAAATAAACTGGAAAATTAGCATATGATTTGGAACTCTTCCTTTGCTTGCATAAAAGCCAATTGGTCGGAGTTTGTTATCATTCGCTTATTTCATTGTATACATTTTACCTGGTCATGGGCCATTTTTTTTGGTTTCCTCTGTTTCAGTCGGCGAGAGGCCATAATTGCATTTACGCTTCGCTTCCGTAATTTTGCACGGTTCTGTTAACATCAAACACTTTGATAAACAAGTGGGATAGCTTCTGAAATAGTTGCTTACCAACTCTCTTTACTTTTCACAAAGCAAGTTAGGATGAATTAAGTGGAAGTAATATTAAAAGCAATAGCTTTTGTTTGTGGTGGTTAAACAAGAGCGTTAGGGGCACGCATGCCTGGATGTTATGAAGGCAATATTATTATCTTCCTTCGTTCTTACCTCGACGCGTTCTTCTCTAAGGTCCACCTTCATAGCGAGTTCCTCCCGAAGGAGAACATCAGGGTAGTGAGTTTTCTGAAACGTTCCTTCTAGCAGTTCGAGTTGTTCTTCAGTAAATATCGTTCGGTGTCGTCTCTTACGTTTCGGTTGCGAGCGTAAAAGATCGCCGAATCGCGGAAATCCTGAAAAATGAAATCACACAAACAAAGAAATTAGTGACGACGACGAGGAGAATAAGGGGTCTGGTCTGTTTGTCTTCACTTAGTTTCTCTGTAGGTCTTATGGTCACCATCTGTTGAGAGTTGCACTCGCTGAGCTTTTAAAACCTTAATCTGTGGGTGTAACTGTTCCAAGGCCGGGGCGAATTAAAGTGTTATCGAGACACCAAGGGCTACAAATCGTCAAAGTCCTTCACATGATACAGTAATCTTGCAAATAACACCACGTGAACGGAATCAACTGCCATTTTTTCGAACAATAATCCGCTCCGCCAGAACCGACCCACGTCACGTTTCGACGGATCAATAGAAAGCGCTGAAGAAAATCGGTCGTGGATGGAACACAATCCACTTGACGAGCTGAGTACATGTAAAATGAAAAGAAAGAAAATGATTGTACCGATATAGCCTGGAGCCAGGGCTGGGATAATTGGGTACGGGTGTGGAATTGTATACGGCACACATCGCTGGTGGGTTGGCCGCGAAAGAATGCTCTCAATAGTGAAGGAGGATCTAAAAGCAGACATGATACGTTGACCCAAATTAATTCACACTGAAGTTTCTTAAACGCTGGGCTCTTAACGCTGTTTCGCCAACCGGCCGGAAGAATTGTGCTTGATCGGGGTCACCGAATCACACTGACTGACTAATAGGCCCAATATGCCAGCCGCTTTGTAGCCAAAAGGATTTACGAATTACTTACAGTGTTAATTCGTTACGTCATAAGAGGTGTTTGTCTACAGTGAACGACCTCTATTAGACCGGGGACAGCTCCTCAGAAACCAGCCAATCACGGACTGGAGCGATAATTGAATTTTGATTAAAATAACACAAGGAGCGGACTCAATTAGCTCGAAATTGTGCAGTTTACTGACAGCATCTCTTTAGTATTTGGCGCAAGTGTAATTCGTAAATCGTGAAGGCATCGCTATCATGATTGACAGAATTGCTTTCTGTAAGCACCGCCCCATCGATTTAGAGGTTAATGTAGCACGAGCAGGAGTTATTGTTGTTCCCTTTATATTTTCCGCCTCCAAGCTCATCTTGAACTCGAAAGAATACATTCTACCTAACAACTTAACCCTCGTTAAACTCTTTTGTTCTTGATAAACATTTTGTTGAAGCACTAAGGCTGGAGATTGACAGATGAAATGTATACACTTCTAATCTTTCATGTCAATGAACTCGCCTACACATTTCGGCCGTACCTCTTGTGGGGTAGAGTTACATTCCACGAAGGGGTTTCTCTATGAATACACCTTACTTAAGTACCGTATGTTTTCAGGTCTGTCTCACTTGAGTATGCAAAAAATGAGATTAACCCCAAACAATTCTTTACTATAAGCAAAATGATTTCATACTGTTTGTGGTCAATTTTACCCATTTTTGCGAAAATCAAAGAATTTTTCAAACTTGTTATCAAGTCTGCCTATTTTGACACCTTAGCAGAGACGTGCCTTCCTTTGGCGGTAAAACTCCCGTAATCTGCAACTGACTACGAGAGAAAATTGAATTGGCGTGTAATTACTTAATCAGCACTTTAATTACTTTTGTCTTTATTCTGTCTCCGGTGCTTTGGTCCTTCAAGGAACTGCACGTCCTCAAAAACAAACTTCTTCCTTACATCTAAATGTTCTTATTGAAAAGTCATCGTAGAATTTAATTAACAACACCAAAACACAAAATTACATTACCAATGAGATGTGTAAGTGAGCTCGTTACCGTCTGACGGCTTTTATTAACTTCTTACAGTTCTGTTGTTCTTCATCGTGGGGGGAACTAAAAGTGATGTGTTAGTTTAATAAAGTTGCTTTGTTTTTCTAATTTCTTGCCCCTTTAAGGGGGTATATTTGCGCGTACCTGTTTACTTGAATTTAATGAACATGAGTTTTTGTCTGTTGTTAGTTTATTCTGCTCTCTAATCTTTAATTTGTTTTCCCCATCGATGCCAAAACCTGCGAACTCTTTGTAGCCTTCAATCCTTGAACAGTTCTTGTTTAAGTTCCACTTGTTAATAAACCTAAGTTGTATTTGACCTTTTTGAAATCTTTTTTATTTCACTCAACCACATTCAAATACACATACACTCGGGGAACAGGGAACGAACCGGTTCGGTTATGGAAATACGAATATAATCTGAAAAGGTATGAACTCAATTCTTTTTGGAAGTTGTCCTCTTTTCTGTGCCTCTTCTCCTACCAAATCAATTCAGTATTATTTCAGAGTTAATCCGCAGTAATGTCTGCGGATGAAAACGAAATTGAACCAAATAAAGTTGTGAAGATTTCAATCTTGCGTATATAATCACAAGGTTGAAGAGTCAATGATCCGCAAGCTAAAAAAAATTGGTCACGGTTCTATTATTCACAGATTTGGATTTCCATCTTTTTGTAAAATTGATCCTGCGGCCTGCATAATGAATTTGATTGCTGGTTAGTTTTCTGCGTTTTGTTTTTTACTTCTGTACGGTAACAGCTTAAAATGCCGTCGAGGTTGAACATTATTATGCTGGTGAGGATTGTAGCAATCCTGTTTACCGCAACATAAAACTGCGTTTGAAAGGCTAATTGGGTTGAACTCGCTAATTCTTTGAATTCAGGGTGCGACTAACGGACAGAAAAACCGTTTTCAACTGATCTGAGAATCGCTTTTAGAAATTTGTGGATAAAATTGCACATAGGAGAGACCTCAGACTGTTTCTGAAATGGTTTTATAAAATGAGCACGTGTGGTCTGTGTAGTATGATGCAAATGGCCTCGCAGTTTACCCCAAAGACTGGCGATGATGTACAATTAATTCTGTTTCTCTCACCCTCCTACTGTACCAAACCTGTGACTCTAACTATTTTGAATGAGTAACTTAAAAGGAAGCAAAGGTTTCGCTAATTTTGCGGTCAACACCTTAACGTGTGCGGGTTATTCCTAAAACGCTGAAGTGGATATAAGCTAAACTGACTCACCTTTTGAGAGAATGACTGAGTTTATGAAGAAAACATTCTAAAACAGCTTGCTTCAGATTTTGGTTGGTTTCTTTTTCTCTGAACATAGTTAATCTATGCGTGCTATGTGTCCTCAGAGATGAACATCGTTTATCGCGAAAACCAAATCTTTCGAATATCAGTGGTATACAGCGAAAATTATTGGTCGGCATTTTCGTACTCAAGAACCGCTTGCACTCATAAATTTGATATTGTATTGAGTAAGATTTCATTGATCTCTGCATTAGAGAAAGTATGTCATGGGCGGAAAGCTGTTAGGAATGAAAACTGTAAAAGTACACTGTGTTTCATTGACTTCATTGTACCTTAGTTACTCTTGCTGATAGAATCGTTCCAACATCCCCAGCTCCGACGAAGGAGAGAGTTCGTTAGCTCTTTCTGTGTGCGTGTGTGTGCGTTAAGATAAAGCTTGAGAAGGAGAGAAAGAAAGAGAATGTTTACAGCTGCCGGACATAAACCCTAACGCCGAAGTGAAATAGCCAGCTTGTGACAAAATCCGTTCCACGTTCTTTTGCGATACAGAGTGGCGTAGCCATTTACACGCTATCTCACTATTATCAATTCTACAGAGCTGCAATTTCCAGATGTTCTTTTGGGCTTACAATTCACAGTGTTGTGTTACTTAAACGATATGTTTAGAAAACCTTGCCGTTACTTTTGAAGTTAAATCATAAATCAACTCAGTATATCTGTATGTACATCAGACTGAACGAGACATCGGTAAGTTTTGTTTATTAGCTTCGAAAAATTCGGCAGAGCGATGGAGTACATGTTAATAATTATGGACTTATACGAGAGGAGGAACTTGTTTCATATCAGTGAAAGGAAAATTGAACATAGGTGAAGTTTAATAAACATTGAGAGTGGAAGGTACGTGTATTGACTTTGACGCAACGATTCGCAGATGTTTCGTTAAACATGTATACCAAGAGTTTAGCTCCTCCTCTGCTTAGTTTAAAACCTATATAATCCAGCCACGATGAAGAATTAATTTCATAAGGATTCTCCTTGCAGGATGCCAACGTGTCAAAATAGTTCAAACAAGTTGTGAAATTTCAAGCAGGTTGTATCTCCGCGGTCAACCACCGCCCTTTCGCGTGCACTCTGTATTAACCCCACGAACGGTAGATGACACTTTACTAATCGTGTTATAACAGGCTGGGAGGGCGGTGATGGTTTATCTGTGAATAAAGAGGAAAGATATTAATACATTCTATAAGACGACCTTCTTTCAAAAATAGCTTAGTGCTACAGATATAACTTAAAATGTATAGGCTTATCATTTTTTAGCAAAATACGGTTATTTTAGTTACTATCTTGGCCTTTCGGCAACGCAAGAATATAACATGTAGGAAATTTGAGTCGTCAGTCAGTTTCGTTTCAGTATATCAAGAGCTATCTATCGGTTTCTCAAGATGCAAGCTAAACAATACAGTTTGGACTGGAGGATGATTATAATTTGTTCCAGGGTAATAGCTTCCTTTGGGGGTTTGAACCTTTGAAATAAGCTCTCAAGAAAATGGATATTGTTTCTGTCTTCTCTCAATCACTGACAATCGAAATGTCCGAGGCTTCGCGGAAACCCTTTGGCACAATAATTATAAAGTCGTTAACGGTGTAAAAAGCGGAAAACCGATACTCAAAGACGTCCAAGAAAGATTAGGACATGCTATCTGCGCGGGAGACAGGAGGAAGAGGGAGAAGCCTGGCACCCTTATGTTTTTAAAATAGTCATACATAAGTTAGAACTCCTCAAGTCTTCACGTGGAAGTTTGTCATGATGTAAATCACTAATATAAGGTTTTAAACCGGCCTTTTTTCAAGTAAATGTGACACGTTGCTGGGTCTGTTTGTTTTGAGCCCACAGTCTCTGACAAGAGGTTTGTAATGCTTTACTGACTCTCATAATTTACCCCTGTAAGCATGACATGCATGAAAATAATTTGATTTAGATAATAAAGGTGTCAACCCTGGATGTAAAGAGCTCTAGGGAACTATTCAACATGCCTATGCCGGTAAGTTTTCGAGCCACGTTATGTAATGTCAACAAAATGGGTTGTGCAGGCTTCAATCGATGAAACTCCTATCTCCCACTCGCCGAAAATATATTGGTTTGAATGGAGAGTCATTCGTAGGTCATAAAGACTCGTTGCAGTGCTTGATTGCCAAGACATTCAAAGAGTGCAGTGCTTGATTGTCAAGACATTCAAAGATCAACTAAAGAAAAGCCAGAGGCCCTCTGTAGAAAAACAAAAAACCAGAAAACACGGTTATAGTTGCCTGAAAAACTTATAGAAGTGCACTGATGTAAACTGAGAGGTCAGGTTCACCACAAGCGGAAGATGACCGTGTAACTCAGCCGCTTCGGTAAGTACGAATGTATGAATAACAATTGAATAAAATCTGTGTATAGAACAACGTTCATGACGTGCAGTTCTGACACGTGGCAGGATATAAGGGTGTCCCCTTTTCCTAGGAAGCAGTTCATGAAGGGGATGACTACTATCAGTAGTTATCTTAACCCATAGTGGCCTATCTTTGATTTTAATTACATCAGTAAGTCATCAGAAAGGGAGTGGGAAAACCGTGTTTAGCGCGAAAAAAGCAAACTAGGTGCTCAGAATCCAGGATTTGTTTATGCGCTTTGTAATTGAGGAAAAACT